GCCCCCAATTTCCCAAGCAGGGATGGATAGACACGAAAATGATTACAAGGTTGCCAACTGCGGCGTGGAGTGTCAATGGGCAGAACCCCGCGCATGGACCCTGCCGCCCCAGTGCCTTGGCAGTGCCGCGAACACGTCGGAAGGATGTTGCCGCAATGTGCGTCCCCGTGAGCACCCATTCTCCCCCTGACAGGCCTTGTGTAGATTTGCCCGAGGGGCGAGCTGCCGTGGCCGACATGCGCCGGCCATCCTTGTCGAGCTGGACGCCCGCGTCAGGGAGGTCTGCAACTTCGTTGCGGGCTTCGCAAAGCACGACAGCAGGCCAGTCGTCAAACCGCTTGGTGAGCCATCGTGAAGCTTGATGGCCCCAATCTGCGATGTTGCTGAAGAACAGGCTGAGGTCGCCCCCGCCTGAAACCTTGGACTGGCACTCGTCACCTCACGAGGCGAGGACGTCAAACGCGCTGTCCGCCTGCAGCTGGTGCTTCAGCGGCTGCAGCAGGGCCTGCAGGAACAGCTGCAGCAGCTGCAGCAGCACCAGGAGCCCGACCGTCAGCTACGCGGGCTGCCTTCGCGGCGGAGCGACCAATCTGCTCGACAACCTGTGCAACCTCCTTCTTGGACAGGTTACCACTTCTGCCTTAGGGGGAGGGACCGCCCAAGGTGGTTGGCCCTTGGAGCCAGTGCGAGGCTCCGCAGGCTGCCCCCCTGCGGGATGTCAGCTTCGTCGGCCTTGGCCTCGCCGCCGTCGGCGCGGCGTTTCTTCTTGGGCATGTCGAGAACCTTCTTGGCGTCGGCGAGCAGCGCCTGGAATTGTTGCTGCTTCCTCTGCGCTTGCCTCAAAACCTCCTCCAGCTGCTGGCCGAAGGTCTCGAGCTCCTTCTGGCCGTCCTCCTCGAAATCTCCCAGAGACTCGAAAAGGGAGGTGTCGAACTTGCAAATGACACCCTTCTCCATGCCTGCCCCGGAATCGAGCATCGGATCCTGCATATCGGCTTGGGCTCGCTGACGACGCCACCCTGCACCGAACATAGCCGTAGCCGCACCATGCTGAGCCTGCTTGTCCTGAGCCTGCTTGGCCTGCTCGAGCGCAGCCTCGGCCTGGACAAGGGTCGTGAAGGCCTTGGCTTGCCGTTTGGAGCAGACAGCCGCAGCTTCTTGAAGTACTGGTTCGGCTGTCTTGGGCGGAGGCTTCGGCTTCTTCGTCTCCAACGGATGCGCTGCCTGCTGCACAAGACTCGCTGCCTTATCTTCGAGCAGGTCGACGCCGCCACGTCTGAGCGCAAAGGGGAGAGCCTGCTCGACGTGTTGTTGTTTTTGGGCAGCGACGGCCACTCCATTTGGTCCGCTCCCGAAGCGGATTCCCGCGGGGACCACCACGTGCCAGACTCCGTAGTCTTCCACCCAGGCTGAAGCACACCGCATGCTCCGCGCATCCCTTTGTCTGGCGCTTGAGACGCCAGTTGTAGCACCAGTCCCCGCAGCCACTGCAGAAGGTGAATTGAGTTGTTGTCTTAGGCACACGGCCCCCACAGGAGCTCACAAGGTGTTGCCCCAGCAGGAGCCCCCGCAGGAACTCACAAACAAATGCTGGGTCTAGCACCGGACTAGCGGCATCCACTTTGCCCACATGAGAACCGCGCACCTTGAGCCAGCAAGGCTACGGAGAAGGAGCAGGAAGATGAAGAGGAGGAGGCAGCGTCTCAGAGGAAGAGGAGGGCAGGGAAAACAAGGAGGAGGATAATGAGGAGGAGGCGGAGGAGGAGGAGGAGGAAGGTGAGGAGGAGGGCAGGGAAGACGAGGAGGCGGAGGCGGAGGAGGAGGGCAGGGAGGAGGAAGAGGAGGAGGAGGACGAAGAGGAGGGGGAGGAGGAGAAGGAGGACCAATGTGAACCCAATACCCTTCAGCAATTTTGCAACACTCCCTCCCTTCCGACTTCCTAGATCAAAAGGTCCACAAGGAATGTATCTTCATTGCGGGAAGTGACCTATTAGAAAACAACCGTCTGAGAGCCATCATCCGTGGGCTTCAGCGCCGCAGATCAATTTGACTGGTGCTTCCGGACAAGACGAAATCTGGCCAAAACGCCGATCTTGGGACTTCAACACTGCGAATCAACGTGACCATTGTTAGGACCTGACAATCTTAAACCACACCAGTACACCATGTTTGGGACATCGGCCACATGGGTGTTTGAAAGTGTTGCAGTTTTTGCGACCGAAAGTGCGCGGCGCTATTGCGATAAACACATTTATCGAGGAAACGCCCTCCATCTCAGACATCTCTGAAATTGCTGCAAACCTTCAATACGAAGGGGGGCACCGCTAACGCTGGAACAACATGTTGAACAAGGAACCGCCCTCCATCCTTGAATCCGCTGTAATCTTGGAATGCGCATGTAGTCGGTGTTTGGGCGAGAGCATGTTGGAAAGGAAGCGCCCTCAATGTTTGAAACGGTTGCATGTTTGAGACGATTATGCGCGACGTTAAGACGAGAGCCACATTTTGAGAACGACCCACCCTTCATCTTTGAAACCGCTACGAACTTTTAAGACGAACGCGCGCGGCCCTAAAGCGAGAACCACATTGTGAAAACGATCCGTCCCGCATGGATGAAACCGCTGCAAATTCCGAACTTCAGGATCACAGGTGGCGAGTAAGTTTCAGGCGAAACGCCTGGCCCGACCTACTGGCACGTCTGGTGGCCGTCTGGGGGTGCGACAGGGAGACATTATCTTTAAGGAAATGCGATTGAGCGGGAGGCACGGAGGAGGGCGAGGAGAAGGAGGAGGAGGAGGAGGAGGAGCAGGAGCAGGAGGAGGAGGAGCAGGAGCAGGAGCAGGAGAGGACGAGGAGGAAGAAGCGACGACGACGACAACCACAACGACAACCACGACGACGACGACGACGACGACGACGACGACGACCACGACGACGACGACGACGACGTGGACGACGACCGACCGACCGACGACGTGGGCGACGACGACCCTACCGAGCAGAGCCAGCCCGCAGGGCTGCTCCCAGCGGGGCCTTCGGCGGCGGCTCGCCGCACCGCGGCCGCCCCTCCCCGCCCCCGAGGGACTGCGGCGGCTGAACGTGGAGCTGGACGAGGAGGCCCTGGGCCGCCCGGCCCTCCCTGCGTCCTCTCGGCAGCATCGCGGGGGGCCCCTCCAGCCGCGCACTCCTGCCGCCCCCCCCCCCCCTTTCCCCCTCCCCGCTCCCGCCCTCCTCTCCCCTCCCCAGAGATCCAACGTCTTGAAAAATATCAAGACAGAGGTTTTTCGCCGTTTTCGGCCTCTAGGGGCCCTCAGCGGGCCCCAGGACTGCTAGAAAACGACTACTCAGGATGAAAAGCCGGTCCTGGGGAATGGGTCGACCCTTCGGGGGAACCCGCATTGAAAAAATCACGACATCGGATCTTTGTGTCCCGCCCCTTCTCGTTCCCCCTTCCCTCCCCCCCCTCGGCCCCGCCCCTCTGCATCCCGGGAGCACCAGCGCACACTGACGATGTGCATCTCGTGCTTGCCGATACGCATTGTATAATGCCTGTAGAGTTCTGATCACCCTGGTCCTGCCGATTACTGTTGCAGGTCCGGTGAGTTCTGACTCGCGGTTGTGCTGCTCCCGGCCCCATGCGAGCCCCAAACTTCAGGCGGGGGATGCATTTCATCCATAAACACCGCCTGGGGATCGATCTTTGGGGAGCTCGGCAGGCGGCGGTGGATATGTATACCATAGCCCCCCGTTGCGGATAAGAGTGAGGGGGCGGGGGAGGTCGTCGGCAGTCTGCGCGATTCCGGCCCTTCCTGGCCCTGAACTCGCAGCGGGATAGGTTCGCTCTGGCCCTTGTCGGCGATGCGCCCCCAGCCAGTGTCGGCGATGCGCCAGGGAGCATCCGAAAAAAAACCCGGCCTGCCCAGACGCCCCCACCTCCATCCGCCCCCGACCACGCCCGCGGTGCTGCAGATTCTCCTGCCTGGCGCGCGCGCTGATTTCACATTTTCCGTCCTGGCGCTCCGCCGGGGAAGTCGGGCCGCAGTTCGACGCTATGATGCAAACGGGCCCTGAGGCTTGACAGGGTGCGTTCTGCGGATGCTTGGAAAGGAGAAAGGGGGGGGGTCCAACCGGCTCCCCCCCGCTGAATTGCAAAAGGGAGGGGATGATTCGAACTGGGTGGTGGGGCCCTCGAGGGCAGGGGGGGGTTCGAACGGTCCACCCCTGAATTGCAAGGGGGGTGCTTCGAACCCGAGGGGGGCCTGCAACGGACGACGGCGAACGCCAGCGCCGGCGCCAGCAGTCGAGCGGCGACGTCGACGACGACGTGGACGACGACGTCGACGATGACGACGTCGAGGACGACGACGTCGACGACGACGACGATGACAACGACGACGACGACGGCGACAACGACAACGACGACGGTAATGACCGAGACTTTCTGAGATGCTATAAGAGGCTCAATCGAGCCGTACCCAATTTCATTGGAGCTGGATCGAGTCCTAGTAGGGCCCAACGAGAGCTTCATCTCGCGATTGTAGGATTCTACCAGAGCTGCATTGAGCTTTCGTAGGGTCCAATCCGGGCTGGATCCAGCTACAGTGGATTTCTATTCGTGTTGGACCGAGCCCGGCTAGAATGCTACTAAAATTGGGTTCAGCGATATTTGGATTATATTAGAACTTGGTCGAACCTCAGTAGATCTGAGCAGGATTGAATTCTAGACGCTTCGCGTATCCCCACCAGCTTTGACAGGCCCGTGGCCCAGACCTCTCAGCTCGGCGACTGCGAATCCGCGTCCGCCCGCGACCAAAAAAAATATCCCCACCAGCTCCTCTCTTTCTTGCTGCCTAGTCGCGGCCCGGCTAGTGATCGGACGGCTTTCGACTTGCTTCGCGAGCCCGCAGACAAAAAAACAGTATCCCCACCAGCCTGCTGGGTAGACAGCTTCCGATACTTCGGTTCGGCCCGCGGCTGGCGCTTCCGTGTTCTTCCTGGGCATGCTCTTCGTTGGCGCGGGCCGTCGTTTGGTATTCCTGGCCGCTGGTTCATGGCCGCGGTACTCCATGCTCGTTCCTGGCGGGTTCACGGCTTTCGACGCTTGGCATGTGGTGTACGCGGGATTCAGGCCACACGCTGGCTTCTCTCGCGGTGCATGTACCTGGAGAACGACGTGCTTCTGGTGTTTCCAGGCTCGTTCTCCCGCCTCTGAGCGGCGATGCGTTAGTACCCTGTTTCTCCTTCCTTTCGTCGTCCTCGTCCGTCTTGTCGCCGTTCGTTTCGGCCTCGCCTGTTTCCCGCCTTGCTAGCTGTAGTTTAGGCTCCTCTGCAGCGTAGGCCTGGCTGTCGCTTGACTTACGGACGCCGCGCGGCTGCCCGCTAACGTTCGGTAAACACAAATATCCCTACCAGTCCATCCAGAAACGATGCCCAGGAAAGCTGACGGAAGAAGGGGAGAAGAGACGCACATAGCGAACCAGAGCGGGCAACGACGGTGAATTGGGAGTCCTTTTGTGGCGAAGGTTGCAAGTGTTACTGTTGGTGCTCTTGTTCCTGCTGGTACTGCTGCTGCTGTTGCTGCTGCTAGTGCTGCTGCTGCAATTGCTGCTGATGGTGACGGTTCTCGGATGATGGGTAGGCGGATACGGGGGAGGAGGAGGAAGAGGAGGAGGAGGAGGAGGAGGAGGAGGAGGAGGAGGATGAGGAGGAGGAGGAGGAGGAGGAGGAGGAGGAGGAGGAGGAGGAGGAGGAGGAGGAGAGGAGGAGGAGGAGGAGGAGGAGGAGGAGGAGGAGGAGGGGGAGGAGGAGGAGGAGGAGGAGGAGGAGGAGGAGGAGGAGGAGGAGGAGGAGAGGGGGGGAGGAGGAGGAGGAGGAGGAGGAGGAGGAAAAAGGAGGACAATGACAACGAGGAGGAAACATGACGAACATAAGATCTTCTTAGGACGTCTCTTGGAAACCTCTTGGAGCGTCTGGGGGAGGATCTTGGGGGCCTCGGGGCTCCTCTTGAAGCCTCTTCGGGGTCTCTTGGAAGTCTCCTGAATGCCTCTCGGAACTTCTTCGGGTATCTCATGGGCGTTTTTGTTCCTGAATGTGTCTCTGAACCCCTTCGGATACCTCTTGAGCGTTTTTTTTGAGGCCTCATGGGACGTTTTGGTGGTCTTTTGGTTGTCCTGAGGGACGCTCGGGCGTCTTGGGTGCTTCGGGGAGGCCTCTTGGGGCCGGTTGGGGTCCTCTTGGGGGTCTCTTGGGGGCCTCTTGGGGCCATATTGGGGCTACCTTGGGGCCATATTGGAGCCTCTTGGGGCCTCCTGGGCGCCTTTTGGAGACATCTTGGAGGACATCGATCAAAGAAGGGTGGTCCCCAATTACGGTCCCCCCTTCAGGGGGCCAAACTGGGGCCAAAACAAAACCCTGGTAAAACCAATGTTTTTGGTTTCCTCGCCGAGGCCGTTTTGGACGTTCCAGCGCGTCGCGGAACCCCCCGTCCAGGTCCAGGGGAAGGGGTAGGGTCAGGGGTCAAGAGTCAAGACCCCCTCCCCGCCCGCAAACCGTCTCGAACACTCCCACCCGCCCTCCCCACACATACGTAGCACCCGAGCCTGGCCCGAGCCTCAGCATATTCAGCAGTCGTCTTTGGATGGGCAGCTACTGGGGGCCAATCCGCCGCCGTCGCCGCCGCCTCCGCCGCCGCCGCCGCCGCCGCTGCCCGCCGCCACCGGATAAACCCCTCCTCGAAGGGGAGGGGGTCTAGACCACCTACACCCAAAATGCTGGTGGGATTATGATTGGATCCAGTTATAGTAGGGCTCAATCAAAGATGCATCCTGCTGGATTGCGATGCTATAAAGTTGAGTCCAGCTATAGTCGGATTCTGTTATTGGTTGATCAAGTTTAAATGAAGTTGTATCGAATGGCCTTCGGCCCATCGCGCCACCGTGCCCGTCTTGTGGGCCAGTGTCCTCGGGGATGCTTCTTGGGGTCTTTTCGGATCGCTCTCGGAGGCCTGTTTGGGAAGCAGTTGTTGGCCTCTTGGGAGCCTCTTTGGGCCCTCTTGGGGGCTTGTTGAGGGCTTCTTGGGCCCTCCTGGGAACGCATTGGGGCCGAAGGCTCGGAATGTGCGTTCGGGTTCCCCCTGTGGGCCCCTTTTTGGGGCCGCTCTTGGGCTGTTTTGGGTGCCTCTTGTGCTGTCTTGGGGCCTTCTTGAGTCGTTTGGGGGCCCTCTTGGAGGCCTCTGGGGCAGTCTTGGGGCGATCTTGGGGGCTTTGGGCCCCGTCTTGGACGTCGTGAAAGCCCATGAGGCGAACATGCTAGAAACGCACGTTTCCCGAAGGGAACGGGACGATTTTGCCATCTTGGGGCCCTTTGGGGGCCTCTTGGAGCGTCTTGGAGGCCTCCTGGGCCGTCCACAGGCGCTCCTTGACCGTCTTGGGCGCTTGGTGGGGGGCTCCGCGAAGTTCTCCGGGTCGTTTGGGGCGTTGCAGCCGCCCGGGAGGCCCATGCGGAACACCCCAGGACCGCCCCCAAGGGCGCCCGAAGGGCGCCCCGGAAATTGGCGGTTTGGGCCCTTAACAAAACTATAATCTTGGCTGCAACAGCAGCAGCAGCACAGCGGTGAGCCTTGGGGAACTCCACTTCGTGCCAGAGGCACGGTGGCGGATGATGTGGAGAGGGAAGGGGAATGTTCGAGACTGCCCCTTGCACAGGGGGTGGGGGAGGGAGGCGGTTTGAACCCCCCTCTCTTTGGAGCCCCCCTTCTGTCAGAGAAGCCAATGCCGATGTCCGGGGGGGGGGGGCTCTGAGGGCGTTCTGAATGTTTTTGTTGGGGAAGGCGCGGGGGGGGGTCCGACGTGCCGAAGCATTTCTTCAAGGCACGCGTCCACGAAACACGTTCTCCCTGAGATCTTCAGCAGTTTTCGGGCCTTCGGGGCTGTAAGATGGCCCCAGGACCGCCAAGCACTTGCTCGGGACGAAGACCTGGTCCCGGGGGAAGGCCCCCACCGTGAGAAGGTTCGGCGGTGGAGCAGGTCACCGCCCCCGCTTGGAGGAGGGCCCGCGGAGACCACGGGGACGCCCCCGTCCCGCCCAGACCCGCGCAGGATCGGTCCCCAGACCCCTCCTGGGGTCCATCCTGGCCTGTCTCTCGAGGCGCGGCGAGAAGCTTCCAGGAGGCCCACCAAGAGACGACAGGCGCCAGGGAAGGCCGCCGCTGTCTCGACGGGCACTCCTCCGACCCGCGTCTTCCCGTCTTGGGGTGCGCATCCAGCAGCGATTCGGGTGGCGGGCGTACCTCGCCCCGCAGGCCATCGGCACGCTCGTCGGGGGCGACGCGGCGCTGAGCGGGGAGCTGCTGGAGGAGGGCGGCGTTTCCTCTCGGCATGCGGGCGGCTGGTCGTCACGACTTTCCAGAGGAGGAGGAGCAGGAGGAGGAGGAGGAGGAGGAGGAGGAGGAGGTTCATCGGTTCTGCTTTTCTCATCGTCCTCTTCTGCTGCTGGGATGCGGCTGACGTCGTCGACTGGCGGGGCGGTATTTCCATAGTCTTGTTTCGTTGCCTACGATTCGGAGGACGACGACATCCGCTCAACGAGTCTGACTTCAGCGGCTTCGGCATATAATGGTTTCTCTCGGGCTCACATTTTTGTTTTTCAGGTACGGTTGAACATGTATGCTAATTCTGGCGTTGGGCTCACGGCACTCTTCGGTTGTTGTGGCATCTGTTATTTTCTTTTGCGGTGCATGGGTTTCTTGATGCGAGTCGATCGTGGTGTATGTGGTACCGTGGACCGACGAGATCGACCAACGCTTTTGGGCTGTGTGTTCGGCATATGGAATTGCATCGCTGCGTTCTTGAATTTCGTCGTCTATGCGAGTGATGTTTACGGTCGTCGCTGGGGTACTTCGCTCTGCTACGTACGTTTTCAGCGTGTTCGTGCAGGTCGTGCTGTTCACCGCGCTCTTCCTGAGTGAGGTGTTGTCGATGGCAAAAAGAGGAGGAGGACGAAGAGGAGGAGGAGGAGGAGGAGGAGAAGGAGGAGAAGGAGAAAGAGGAGAAAGTGCAATAAAGATGATCACGTATTAAAATTCGTGCAGGAGGGAGTGGACGGACCAGAGAACGAGGAAGGGCGGAGGCGGAAGCGGGAGATCAGGACGTCCTGGACGCCGCGTGCCTTGCCTCGTGCTGCGCGCGCAGAGAAGTCAGGCAGTCGGGCAGGCCGGCAGGCAGGCATTCGACTTGGCCCTCTCCCCCGGTTGCCTCGCCCGCTCCAAACCCCCGCTTCCCTGCGACGAGCCCCCCGAGGACGAGGAGGAGAAGGAGGAGGAGGAGGAGGAGGAGCAGGGATGGGCGAGGAGGGAGGAGGGGTGAGGAGGAGAAGGAGTAGGAGGAGGAGGGCGGAGGAGGGCGGAGGAGGGTGGAGAAGCAGGAGGGCGAGAAGCAGGAGGAGGAGGAGGAGGAGGAGGAGGAGGAGGAGGAGGAGGAGGAGTAGGAGGAGGAGGAGGAGGAGGAGGAGGAGAAAGAGAAAGAGGCGGCAGAAGGATGTTGCTGCTGCTGTTTTTGATGATACTGATGATGATGGTGAGGGTGATCATGATGTTGCTCATGCTGATGATGATGATGATGATGATGCTGCTGCTGCTGCTGATGATGATGATGATGATGATGGTGTTGAGGATGATGACATAGACGATGATGATGACAATTATGATTCAGATCATGAGTAAGATGCTGACGGTGGTGATGATGATGCTGCTGATGATACTGACGGTGATAGTGATGATGAGGAGGAGGAAGACGAGGATGATGATGCTGACGATGGTGGTGATGATGATGCTGCTGATGACGATAATGGTGATGATGCTGCTGATGATGATGTTGCTGCTGCTGACGATGATGCTGCTGATGCAGTTGATGATGATGAAGTGTGATGGTGATGATGCTGATTATGATGATGGTGACGATGATGCTGATGCTGCTGATGAGGATGCTGATGATGATGATGATGCTGATGATGGTGATGATTTTGATGTTGCTGCTGCTGATGATGATATGATGTTGGCGACGATGATGACGATGCTGATGAGGATGCTGGTGATGATGATGGTGGTGATGATGCTGATGGTGGCGTTGACGAGAATGGTGGTGGTGAAGGAGGAGTAGGAGGAGGTGGCGGAGGAGGGGAAGGAAGCCCTCCCTACCCCGCGCTTGCGTCCCCCATCCCCGCCTCTATTTGCCGCAGCGCCGAGGAGCTGTGCGCCGTCTACGGCGAGTGGTCCAAGGAGTGGGAGGTCAAGAGGCGCCGGCAGCGCCAGGAGCGGGCCAGGGGCGCCACGGGGCGGCCAGCGAACGGGGTTGCGTTGCCTCTGCGTGCTGGCCTACACCGGGCGAGTGGCGCTGGGTACCGCTTTCGGTAAGGCAAGTCAGATGGCTTGATATCTTGAGCGAAAGCGGTCGAGGTCCAGTGCCGCAGGTTTATGGGGGCGCTTGCTTCAGGCGGGCCTGCGAGCCACGCCCACGGCCGCGCGTCCTCGCAGCAACCGCGGGGCGTGGCTTTCAGCAGGAGGCATGGCCCTGGGAATTGAGGGACCAGGCTCTTGGGCCGCTTTTGCGCAGGCACGCGGGTGGGGGAAGGGCGGGGGAGGACGGGCTTGATAGCTCGGGGAGGCCCGTGTGTATGATTGGTGGATGTGGTGCATACGTGTCTCGCTGGAAGCAGTGCTCAATGGCCGCTCGACCAGCCTCGAATTATCAGGGTGGCATTCCCCCGCAGCCCATGCCTGCTACGCGTGGAGCCCACGGCCATCTTGGCCCGAGCGACCGCGGGGCTCGAGCGTGACGAGCTCCCGCGCAGGGATGGCGCTGTCGCCAGCCCCCGCGGCGGCGCAGAGCGCCAGGCAGCGGCTCGCCGAGGTGCTGGGCCGAGAGGAGAACTGCAGGTGCGCGGACTGCGGGGCCCACTGGCCGGACTGGGCCTCGGTCAACCTCGGCGTGTTCCTGTGCATAGACTGCGCCGCCGTGCACCGCGGCCTCGGCGTGCGCGTCTCCCGCGTCATCTCGACCGAGCTGGACGCCTGGCGCGACGAGTGGGTCGAGGTGTGCAGCAAGGTCGGCAACCACAACGCGTCCCTCTACTATGAGCACGGCGACACGGGCAACCTGAGGCTTGGGTGGACCAAAACGCGGCATGACCATACGCTTTCGTAGGTCCGCGATGATTTCTTGGATCGGCGCCCGGGACCCCCTGGCGGCGCCTCCCGCGCCGCCCCTGGCCCGCTCCGCGCGCCAGGGAGGGGAGCCCAGCGCAAATCCAAGAGAAAACCACGCGGAGCTCCGAAAGTTAATGCTCATGTCGCGCTGTCTTTGCCCAGGCCTCCGTCGCAGAAGCCATCGCGCCGGCGCAGGGAGCTCTGGATCCGTGCGAAGTACGAGTGCCAGGCCTTCTCGCCCGAGGGCGTGCCCGCACCGTGGCACGGCGCTGCGTCGGCGTGCGGCACGAGCAGCAGCAGCAGCAGTAGCGAGGGCGAAGGCGACAGGTGAGCGAGATGTGCGAGGGGAGGGGGAGGAGGAGGAGGAGGAGGAGGAGGAGGAGGAGGAGGAGGAGGAGGAGGAGGAGGAGGAGGAGGAGGAGGAGGAGGAGGAGGAGGAGGAGGAGGAGGGGGAGGAGGCAGGTTTCTGCCCATCCGTGCTGCTTGCTGGCGCATGTCCGCCTCCGCTCCGGGGGAATCGGCGCAGCAGCTCTGCAGCGCGGCCCCGCTGTGGCACTGCATGGTCGTCGCGTGGCCTCTTCGGGGGGGGGCCTCCTCGGGGCCTCTCGGAGGCATCCCGGGAGCCTCTTGGAGGTTCCATTGCTGGGCCGTTCGGAGAACTCGGGGCTGTCTGGAAGGGGATGGGCATCGGGCCGAGTGGGGGATCGCCGGGCCGTGCCGGGGGGTCCGGGGGCCGTCCCGCGGGGGTGCTGGGGCCGTTCGGAGGAGGGCGGGCCAGGGGGCGCTCCTCCCGCCCGCGGCCCCGCCCACGCGTCCCGGGGAGGAGGGCCCGCGGCCCCAGCGCCTTCCGCCCGCGGTGGCGCCGGATGCGAGAGGCAGCATGCAGCTGAGATGCTGCGAAGCACGGGCGCGTCCGGAGGGAGCGTGGGTGTGCAGTGGTCTCGCGCTCGCCCAGCCAGCGGCTGTTTCGCAGGAAGCCCTGGCAGTGGCAGCGAGTCATGAGAAGTGCACGGGGCTTCAGGCATACCTGCGGCCGCAAGCGCGGTGGCGGACACAGCGAGTGGCCGCCTCGTCTGTGCGCGTATGCTCAACCATGGTCACACGCCCTGTTTTTGCGCCTCGTTCCAGCCACCTGCGTTGTCTGAGCGAGCCCAGTGAAGAGGCTGCTCGAGGTGTGGACTCTGCGAATGTGCGGGGCCATTGTGATACGGACGTTTGCACTTCAGGCGCCACCGTCATTAGCATCAATGCTGGTGGATTGGCATTTTGCCTCCATTCGTACACTATCGCAATGGATTTTGAGACCTGGCCGGGGACGGGCCTAGCAGCCTCGAAGAGGCAGCCAATTGTAGGCAGCATTGTTGCGCCATTCACTTGGCAATCGCCGCAGTCGCGGAACCGCCTGCGCTCGCACAAGAAATCAGCTGGTTTTATAGTTTGTCCTTCTTCTCGGATATATTGTCCTCCCTCCCGAAGCTTCGTTGCTTGCTACTGTTATGTCTTGCCTCCTCTCCATGTTGTCGCCGCCCAGGCAGATACCATGATTCGCACCAGCTGGCCTAAGCGCCTATGCCGAGCTTGTGCCGAGCGGTGGCAATTCACTTACTGGTAGAGCTCCGCGAGCGATTACTGCACGTATTGTCAGAGCATCGCGGTCTTGCACCCTTTTTTCCAACTGTTGGGTCCCCTCCTCTGCGCTTGCCCCGTACTTGCAGTAGCCTGCACCCTTCGTTCCTTCATGCGTTCGCCACGCGGCCACATGTGCCCCATGGCAGTTGCTCAGTCGGGCAAGGCAGTGCATAGCATCTCACATAACACGTGCTGGGTCTCTGCTTCCTTGAGGAAGGTCGCAGGATTCACGCCCCGATCAGCGGCCAAATGGCTGAATGCAGATCGAACGCCGTCGCATAGCGTGCAAGGCCAGACGGAGGTCTTATTTGAAGCGCCGTTTGGCTGCGCTCCCGACGGAGGCGCGGCGCAAGCTGCTGGCGCTGTGCAAAAATCGAGGGCGCGCTCCCAGTTCACGGGGCGTCTGATCGGCGGAGCGCCGTCCTGTCGCAGTCGTTTCTTCGAGCCTGCCTTTTGATTTGCTCGAACTGCTACCCTTTCTCTCTCTCTCTCTCGCTATCTCTCTATCTCTCATCCTCTCTGTGTCCTTGTCTCTGCGACGATGTCAGGCTCGTTTTTTTGTGTTATTTTTTCTTTTTCTCTCCCTCTCTCTCTCTCTCTCTATCTCTCTCTCTCTCTCTCTCTCTCTCTTTCTGTTTCTGCATATGTATATACACACTGATCTCTTCTGTTAAGGAACTCCCTCCCGCCAAACTGGCTCTAAGTTTTGAATTCCGGTGACAAATTCTCAAAAGCTGGCCCAGTTTCTTCACGCTGGCATATGTTTCTTGATCTTCCTCTGGATCTTCTGGACCTTCTCCCAGATCTTTCTCGAGACCTTCCTCTTGACCCTAGATCTCCCCCCGATCTTCCTCCAGATCTTCCCCCGATCTTCCTAGATCTTCCCCGGATCTTCCTCCAGGTCTTCCTCCAGATCTTCCCAGATCTTCCTCCAGATCTTCCCCAGATATTCCTAGATCTTCCCCACATCTTTCTCCAGATCTTCTCCCAGATCTTCCCCAGATCTTCCCAGATCTTCCCCATATCTTGTTCCAGATCGTCCTCTATATCTTCCCAGTCAATTTGCCTAGATCTTCCCCAGATCTTCTCCCAGATCTTCTTCCAGATCTTCCTCCAGATCTACGCTCAGATATTCCACCACATCTCCCCCCCGCAGACCTTCCCGCGGATCCTCTCCCTTCTCCTCCTGTCTCCCTTCGTATTCCTCCTCATCCTCCTCCTCTTCCTCCTCTCCTGTTCCTCCCTTCTCTCCTGTCCCTCCCAATCGTTTACAAGATCTTCCTCCAGATCTTCCCCGATACCTTGTTCTACATGTCTTCCCGGACTTTCCTCAAGATCATGCCCAAGATCTTCCTCTAGATCATCCCCCAGATCTTCCATCATTTGTTACTCCTGACCTTCCTTTTGGATTTCGTCCGTTTCTTCTTCATGTCGCCCCCCCCACCCCAGATCTTCTTCTTGTTTTCCAGATCTTCTTCCAGATCATCGTTTACATCTCTATATATCCCCAGAGCTGCCTCCAGATGTTCCGCCCAATCCTGTTCCAGGTATTCCCTCCAGATATTTTCCGACATCTACCTTCAGAGTTCCCACGGACCTGTTTTCAGAAGTTATTTCCGATATCACCCAAAATTTCACCCAAACCTTCACCGAGATCTCTTCTCCAGATCATCCCCCAGATGTTTCTCCAGCTTTTCCTCCAGATATTGCCCCAGATCTTCTCCAGATCTTCCCCCAGATGTTCACCCAGACTTTCCTCGAGATCTCTCCTCCAGATATTCCCCCCAGATCTCTCCTCCAAATCTTCCTCCAGATCTGCCCCCAGATCTTCGTCCAGATATTCCCCCACATCTTCACCCGATATCTCTCCTCCAGATCCTCCACCAGATGTTTCTCCAGATCTTCCCCCAGATCTTCCCCAAAATCTTCTCCAGGTCTTCCTCCAGATCTTCAACCAGATCTTCACCCTGGTCTTCCTCGAGATCTCTCCTCCAGGTGTCTCCTCCAGATCTTCCTCCAGATCTTTTTGTTTCATCTCTTCCCCCAGATCTTCACCCAGATCTTCCCCGAGATCTCTCCTCCTGATCTTCCCTCAGATGTTTCTCCAAATCTTCCACCAGAATTCCCCCCAGATCTTCTCCAGATCTCCCCCCAGATATCCACCCAGATCTTCCCCGAGATCTCTCCTCCACATCTTCCCCCAGATCTCTCCACCAGATCTTCCTCCAGATAGCACCCCAGATCTTCACCCAGATCTCCCCCTCGATCTGCACCCAGATCTTCACCTAGATCTTCACCCGGGTCTTCCTCGAGATCTCTTTTTTAGATATGTTCCAGATCTTCCACCACATGCTTCTCCAGATTTGCCTCCAGATCTTCCCCCAGATCTTCTCCAAATCTTCGTCCAGATCTTCACCGAGGTCTTCACTGGGGTCTTCCTCGAGATCTCTCCTCTACTGTAGATATTCTCCAGATATTTCTCCAGATCTTCCTTCAGATTTCCCGTCGGTCTTCGTCCAGATCCCCCGCTTCATGTTTCTCCACATGTTCTTGCATGTTGTGTTTGATACATTGCTCTAGAGCCCCCGGCCCTGCAATCGGCATCATCACCGGCTCACCGGCGCAATCTTTATCACAACCGCCACCATTGGCGCCGCGTTGCGCTAAGAAACTGCACGCTTCAAAGCTGGCTCTCGCAAGAGGGCTAAGAAATTCAGCGAAGCTGGATGTCATTTCTTGCTGGAAGATTTCTTAGCATTTGAGTATGTACATATATCTGTCTTGCTCTCTCGCTCTGTCTCTCTTTCTCTCTCTCTCTCTCTCGCTCTTTCCCTGCCTCTTTCTCGTTATTTCTCTATCTCTCTCTCTGTCTTTTGTTCTTCATCTCTCTCTCTCTCTCTCCCCCTCTCAATATGTCTTGTTGCCCCTCTCTTGTTCTCTTTCTTTCTTTTGTTTGTCTCTCTCTATCTCCCTCTATATATATATCAATATGTCTCTCTCTCTCTCTCTCTCGCTCTTTCTCTCTCTCTCTCTGTCTCCCTCCTTGCTAAGTCAGGCTCCAAAGGACGAGGCAATGGTCAGAGTATTGGGCGTGGGCACGGGGGTGGTAAGAATGGTGACCCCGTGCATTCGGAGCCTGCCCTTGAAACTGGCTGCGCGCCAGTAGTGGGGGTGCAGGTAGGCCCGTGCCGCTCTGCGGAGTGCGCTGGGTGTTCCGTACCGGTATTTGGGGGGTGTGGAAGCTGCCAGATACAGAGTTATGCTCCTCTGATGGTAAGGCTGTCTCTCCGAGCCTAGCTGTGTGACGGAGGTGGGACGTATGTCTCTTTGTGTTTCTCAGTCTCTTCATCGCTCTCTCTCTCTCTCTCGCTCTCTTGGTCTTTGCCTCTCTCATTGTACGCTCTCTCTGTCGTTTTTCCTCTCTCTCTCTCGCCCTCGCTCTCGCTCTCTCTCTCTCTCTCATTCCCTCTCTCTCTCTATATGTCTCCCCCGCTTTCCCCAAATAGTCTCTCTCTCTCTCTCCCTCTCTCTCTCTCTCTCCCTCTCTCTTTCCCTCCAGCGCGCTGGGCGGCTGCAGCCAGATGTTATAACCGCCCAGCGACACAGCATAGAACACGTACCCATCTTTTTGTGAACGCATGCAAGAGCAGGATTCGCAGCAAGCGCCTGTCGTAGCCGACAGCTGTGCTGCAAGCTGCTGGTGGCTCGCACGCACACGCCTACACACTTGTTTCGTCGGCGGCAAGGCAGAGCCGCTGCACCAGCGGAAGAGCTGAACGGGGGCACCGAGAAGCGAATTGCCCAGCGTGCAGGAGTTGGGACTGAGACAGACGGGGCGGCCGCGGAGGAGGAGAGGGGAGGGGGCACACATACGCAGACACGCGCGCGCGCACGTGCCTCCACTCTCGGCGTCGAGGTGCCTTCCACGAGAGCGCCCGCACGGCCTGGCCTCCCTCTCCCGCCAGGGGCGGGGGCGCGGCGTCCCGTCTTCGCGCCTGCTCTTGGGCGGCAGGTCCGACGAGACACCTCCCACGCAGGATGCGACATCTTGCCGTGATCCGCCTCGTCGAGAGGTGGGGATGCTGCCAGCTTGGAGGCCCCCATCCTGCTCACCGCGCAGTTGCGGGACGGCGTGGCGTGTGCACAGAAGGGCCACAAAGAGGGCCTCATTGCCACAAGTCGGGCCCGATATGCCCCAGGCGCAGCCGAGGTTCGACCTGGTACGTGGAAGCGGGCCTCCGAGAGAGCCTGACGGACAATCCCGCGAGGAAGTGGAGGAGTCCGAGAGTCCATGGTTTTCCTAGGAGGAAGATGAGGTCACGCTCCGTCGATGAGGCATTGGGGATCAGAACAGCTGCGAAGCAACACCATGA